ATTAGATATTTACTTTCATAACTCGGACAAGTTTGCTAAGCTTAATGTTCTCCGTCTTTGTCCAAGTCTTACAGTGTATAAGAGAGTCACCATGGTGGGTTTTGGGTGTTTTTGTTTGTTTTTTAAGCATAATATTTCATTGTATGTACGTAACAGAATTTGTTTCATTGTATGTACGTTACAGAATCCATTCCTTTATAACAGGGAGTTGGGGTTGTTTTGACGCTTTGATATATGGAAACGGCTGCAATAAACATAGATGTGCTTATGCTTGTTAATTTTGTATTCTTTATTTCTTTAAGGTATACACTTAGTAGGGAGATGGCTTGATCCTATTGGGCATTTCTATCCTGTCCTTTAGGGCCACTATGAACTGGCATACACTCAATGGCAGTGAGTTCATTTTTTGTTTGGTGAATATATTGGACAGGGTTCTCTAGAGAAACACAACTAGATGCTAATAATTATATATATAGAGAGAGATGACATAAGAAATAAACAATCTATAAAGCAGTACAAATGGCTCAGTGCAACTCACGCCTGTGAGATAGCTGTGAGACGCTGGCAGTCATTCAAGTCTTGTGGGCCACCAGGTAGTCCTCTGTAGAGCAATTCAGGCTATCCATCCACAGGCAGCAAACAGCAAGGCAGGTAGGTCACCAACAATCAGCCAGATGACAGGGTCCAACAGTCTCCAGCTCAAGAGATGTAAATTCCAATGCTGTGGCGAAGCAGGTCTTGAAGGAACCACAAATTACAGCGGTACAGTCCACGGGTTGGATATCCCACAGGAAGTGCAGCTTGCAAATTGAGGCACAGAACAAGCAGGGCAGTTTCACATTGGTCCGATGATCAAAGAGCAAGAGACAAGAGAGGCGAGGCTCACCCAGCCATTTATCTCTCCACCCTTCAATTAATCCCACATGTGTTCATTGGCCATGTTGGCTCAATAAACTTTAACTATCTCAGTGAAGAATATAAAATACGCAGAGTACACATCACAGACGACCAAAAGAACAAACAGCAGTCTTGGAGGAAGTACAGCCAGAATGTTTCTTAGATGTGAGGATGAAAGGACGTCAACTAATATATTTTGGACATGTTGTCAGGAGGGGCAAATCTCTGGAGAGAGACATCATGTTTCCTCAATTGGAGGGTCAGAGGAAACTAGGGCGACCCTCAGTGAGATGGATACGCACCGTGCCTGCCGCTATGGGTTCTTCACGCAGAGCAACGATTGTGATGATGGCATGGGACTGGGCAACTTTGTCTTATGCTGGGGTCTCGATGAGCTGGAATTGACTTGACAGCACTTGGTAATAACAATTCACCCAGTCAGCAGATAAATCATTTATTGGGTGCTACTCTGTGCCAGGGAATGGGAAGCCAGGCTGGAGTCACATTCTTGGGACCAGGAACTAACACACTCAGGAGAAGACATAATGGCAGATGATCTTGCTGGTGTCATTGACCTGGATCTGTTCTTACCACAGCTCTCTGGACAGGGTTTGGTAAAGAGTTGTGGAACATGAAAGGTAAAACTCCCATTCAAGAAATCATGGGAAAACATTCCAGAACATTCTGGGCATGACGAGAGTCTGCATGTCAGCACAAAGGTCCAAAGTGAAGATTTATTGGTGGCTCCCTCTGGGCACCTGTTTTCATCGAAGTTTGATCTACAGAATGTTGGGGAGCAAGAAGTGACTTTATCCCTGTAAGAGAAAAGAGAAGAAAACAAGATAGAGAGAGAGAAAAGAGATAATTCTATTAGAGTCAGTGGTCGGGCTCATGTACATGTGATTCCTGAGGTAATATCTATAGGGGGAATGGGTCTTTTACAGATACTTGTTTCTAGCTGCTGTCAAGTGCTCTGGGAGTACCAGGAACAACAGGACAAAACATCCCCTGGTTCTGTACCTTCTGGACCATAATCATGCTTGTTGGAATGTTCTCATGATCTGCTGTGGATTTAAGTGCCTTCCAACCTAGGGGAATCACCTTCCAGCACTACAATGAACAATAAGCTGCTGTGACCATAAGCTTTTCTTTGGTTAATTCTCAGGGGAGATTAGTCCCTGGAGAAGGACACCACACACCACGCTCAGTAAAGCAGAAAAAGAGCAGCGAAAAGGAGGAAGCTCTTCCACGAGATGGATTGGCTCAGTGACTGCAACAATGAGCTCAAACATAAGAACACTTCTGAGGATGGCACAGGACCCAGTCGTGTGTCCTTCTGTTGTACATACAGTAAGTATGAGTCAGTGTTGAACCAATGGCACTCAACAACAATCCTCAGGAGCCAATTGTCAAGCCTTTCTTCTTAGTTTATATTAATCTTGAAACTAGCCTTAGACCTGTTCACCATGGGTGA